CCCCCCCCCTTTTTTCTTCCCTTTTTCCCCCCCCCCCCCCTCTCCCACTCGCAGACCGTTCGGGGTCATTGTTTACCACACACTTGTCTTTGTCTAAGCTGGCCGCGACGCAGTTTAAAAAATTATTTGAACAATAAATAATTCATAACAAAAAATTATTCAAACGCATTTTCTGCCGGCGTAACGCCGAACGAGCAGAAAAAATTCTTTTCATTTCTCTCCTTTCCGGCAGTTCGGTTCGACGATTACACGCGCGATGGACGAGCGACGAGGGCCGAAGGAACATTTTTCTCCTTCTAGCGTCTCGTTCTCTCTCTGTTCGACGCCTAATTGTGCTGTTAGGTGGCCTCGCTCGACTGCCCTACGGTCTTCTACACATAGATCCCCTATACGGGCCTGTCCGACCGGCCGCACGCTCCCCCCTTTCCGCGCCGCCTGCTAGTCCGTTCCCCCCACCACCCGAACCACGATGCACTTACAATGTACAGGAAACTTTTATATTATAAATTTAAAATTTGAACATCATAATAAATTTTTAAAAACTCGAACGAAAGGCTTAACGACATTTTCGAGTTGTCAACGATTTGACAACGATTGACGATTTACTGGACAATGCGTGAAACAATTGTCGCGAAAAACCGCGAGTTATTAGAACGAGAACAGCAACAACACATCGAAGATTTCATTGAAATCGGTCGACCCGCCTCCGCGTCGCCGAGCACGCAGCGCAGGAGGTGCACTCGCGTCGAGTGGCGGGGATAATCCGCCGGAACGAGGGAGTGGGAGGCACGGTCGGTGCGCCGCCGGTGGGACAGGCCCGCGCTACGACATTTACGAGTAATCGTAGTATTAAATTGTAAAATGTGGCTACACGTTTATCCATTACCGATTTAGTCGACTACAGGAGGACTCTGCTACTCTAGGGTGAGAGATTTACGATCGACAACCGGTCATTCGCGGCGACCGCGAAGGACGAAATCGTACGCGGTATCAAGTCGTGTAGTTCCCCGTGAATATGTATCGAACGCGCCGATACCTCGTTCTGTCGTTTCGCCTGTGGCAAAGCCGCGTCTTTTTCTCTTTTACTTTTTCTTGTTCCGCTGCGACGCTAATGGGATTCGGGAGAAGTGCGCGCGTTAAGGGACCGTTCGCTATAATACAACGCGCCTCTATCGACCGCGCTACCACGGCGCGAGTCATCTCGTTGCACGCCACCGTGCTCGCGGTGGCCAGGAGGATAAGCTAGATTTCAAGTCGGAGGAATGGGGATGGGTTGCGCGACGCGCTGGGGCTCCCGATAGCGTCACGTGATGCACTGGGGCTCCCGGTAGTGTCGCGTGGTGCGCTGAGGCACCCGACAGTGTCGCGTGGTACGCTGAGGCTCCCGACAGCGTTGCGTGGCGCGCTCAGACTCCTGATAGTGTCACTTGGCGCGCTGAGGCTCCCGATAGCGTCACGTGACGTGCAGAAACTCCCGACAGCGTCACGTGGCGCGATGGGCTCCCGATAATGTCGCGTGGCGCACTGGGGCTCCCGACAGCGTCGCGTGACGCGCTGAGACTCCCGACAGTGTCGTGTAGCGCGCTGGTGCTCCCGATAGCGTCACGTGACGCGCTGGACCTCCCGGCAGCGTCACGTGGCGCGCCGAGACCTCCGACAATGTCGCCTAGCGCGCTGAGGCTCCGAATAGTGTCACGTGACCAACCCTCACTCCTTCGACTCGAAATCCAGCTTATTCTCCGGTCTGCGGCGACAGTGCCGGACATTCCGGTTTCAGTGACCGAAAGAAGCGTCTTCGCCGGTATTTTAACAACTATTGAAGCGTCTCGGAGACTCGAGCGGATCGAACGGAAAGCGAGTCGCGTGCAGCCGACTGTCGTCGAGCTCTTCGTGCCGTGTCGTATCGCGGCGGAGAACGAACGTTCGAGGTTGCCTCCGTGTTTCTATCGTTCTCCATTCGTTCGCGGTTAACTCGTTGCATCGTTTCGAAGGAGGCTCTTTATTGTCTCGAGTGTGAACGGCGGAACGAAAGCGGGCAGAATTTTGAGGCCACCCTCGGAGAACGGTTCGCCGCGCGGCGTTGCCGGATTGGCCGGGAGCGTCGCGAAGCGACGCGAGCTGCGTGGCACGCGTGAAATAGTAGAAACGTTCTCCGAGAACGGGGCGCCTCTGTGAAAGAGCCGCCGGCACAAAGGAGCGGAAGCGCGCGTCCGCCGTCAATGGCGTGTGACTCGGTGATCGATCGGATTCCGGCGTTCGGGGAACGCCGCGCCGGGTCCCGCCGCGACAACTGTTCCCGCCGATGAAAGGCCGCGATGGATAATGCCCCGAATATTCCTCAGGAACTGATCTGTGTTCGGCTCGAACCGTTTTACATTCGGGAATTTCGGCGCAGCGCGCGAAATCGTTCGTTTCTTTGCGGACTTCGCGTTTCTAGTCGACACGATTGGGGATTCAGACGATTGTATATATGTATAAAAAAACAAGAAAAAAGGAAAAATTATTTTAGGACGCTGTACATTCGCTGAGAAAGCCCGTTGCCAAATAAAGCGTGAAGCAGGCCGGACAAATGATGCTCGTCTAGCGGACAACGTTGCTGCCCCCACCACCGCGCCCGGATCGGTCGAGCAGCGTGAATTCGTGGTGGGTGTTTGCTCGTTTCGCGGAACCATCGTGCACCTTAAATCCAATCATTATGCAGGGCGTCGTTTAAATTTTTACATAAATGAGATTCTTGCGAATCATTGTTTCTAAGATTCGAATTAATTTTCAAACGAAACACGAGCTCGCGTACTTATTTACAAAACAATAGAATTCCATTTGCAACACAATTATTAATTTCTGATTGCGCAAACAATTACTCATATAATTATTATCGAATCACGAAATGTCACGAGCATCAGTTGCCGGAAGCCGGTGTAAACGATGAAAAGAAAATAACGTGTCACGCATCAATGTAAGAATGATATATTTATTTATATACAAAACTTCTCGGTTAACAAAAGATATAAATGTGCGCAGAAATAAAGAGAGACCGGAGCACGGGGGCGGTCTCGAAAAGCGGCTCTCACGATCAGCTGTGGTCCGTGTGCTGGTCGTACTCGCGAGTTACCTAATAAACGATCTCGCAGTGTCCAACAACACTCTCCCAAGCCCTGAAACGGTCGCGATCGCGATATTTGTCGGCCGATTCTCGTTACAGGACCGTCTCGAATTGGACCCGAGCCCGATCGGTTGTCTTCGCCGAGGGGCGCGTATCGAGGCTGCGCGCATGCGTGGCAGACTCCCGACAGTGTCACGTGACGCGCTGAGACTCCCGACAGAGTCGCGTGGCGCGCTGAGACTCCCGACAGAGTCGCGTGGCGCGTTGGGACTCTGGGCAACGTCACGTGACGCGCCGAGACTACTGACTGCCTCCAGCAAGCGGCGTGGAGTGGCGTCGCGTGAACGTGGCAAGAAGTAACTCTATACAATTAAATAAAAAATAAATAATCGCGGGCCCGGCGCGGTCGGATGCGCGGGCCCGTCGGACGTCAACATTACGCGTAAGAAACTGTACAGAATATTACAAAGGACCGCGGCGGTTCACGCGCACGCAAACGTTGGTCGAGCGCAGCGCGCGGATCGACCAACGTTTACATGTGGTCTCCGTGCCGAAAACGCATTCGTTCGTGGCGCTAATAGTAACAGAATATACAGAGTTCCGGCGGGAGCCGAGCGGCGGCTACCGGCCGGCCGTGTCGGCCGGGTATCCAGCCGGAGGAGTGGGGGTAGGTCGCGCGGCGCGGCGGTCGTCGCCGATTCGCGCCGAGCGGCGGAGTAGGGATGTCACCCGTGCTCCCACACGACCGCCGCGTCATGTGACCCTCCTCCACCGGTCCGATTCGTAGTCTGGCTGCCGCGGCAGCGATCCCGAGCGTTCTAATCGCGTCTCGGAGCCCCGCTCGGCACCTCGGCCAGAGAAAATAAACAGCCAACAATATAAATTCATTCGAGTGTCGCGAAAATCATTCTAAATCCCGTGCGATCGACGGGATACCGCGTCAGCTTTGCTTCGTCGTTCTGTCGATCATTTCCTGCCGTGGATATCTTTCCGTTCGTGATCGGTCCGTGCTGAAACAGGTCAACCGCCGGAGTAGTTGAGGACGCGGCGGGACCGCGCGCCCCGTCGCTCGCCTAAGGGGACTAGAAACTTGCGTTCTCGGGCCCTCGGCTCTGCACAGAGGTTGGCGTGGGACGAGAACGCGGCGGGGGGAGCTTAACTAAAATTTCCAACAGGTGTACGTACGGATGTCACGGCGCAGCGACGAGTTTGTATCGGACGCGATATAACGGGTGTCCTATTCGATTCGCATCGACGAAAAATATCAAAGGCGGCGCTGTTTTATGAACGGCGGACGCGGGGGACACCGACAACGACTTTTTCCGTGGAATATCGGAATCTGGCTTCTGGAATCGAATGATTCGAGATCGATAATATTTGGAATCGATTGCCTTCGAAATCAACTGCTTTGAATTTAACTGATTTGGAATCGATTGCTTCGAAATTAATTGCTTCGAAATTAACTGCTCCAAAATTGTCGGTAAAATAGATTCCCGAATAACCGATGATCGATCAAATATCCCTGGAAAAATTATGTCGGCGGTGGTCCGCGATTATGGTCGCAGGTTATCGCCGAACGAGCGTCACCTATCCGAGTGGCCCGAGAAGCAAATCGCTCGTAACCGAAAGATATCCAAGGAGCGTCCTGTCACGAGCACGCGATGCGTGATAACAATGATGCACGAGCAGAGATCGCGAGGAGGGGGAGGGGGTCGATCGTCGAGCGTGGACAGCGTGGATCCCGATCCCGGCGGGCGTTCCTCGCGGGGGAAATCCGTCTGGCAGTGCGCCGTGCGGTCGCGGCCAACGAATCCCATTCGTTCCGGTCGTTCGGCGCCATCAAAAATATGTCCGGCTCGGCCGGTGGCTCGACGTTCCCGCCGGGATCGGCTCGGCGCTGGGAATTGCACGGATCTCTGCGCAGCCGGGTTGCGGAATAGAGCAGGGCCTGTCCTCGCCATCGACCGGTCTGTCAGCCCAGCCAAAACCGCGTGGCCAAACGCGCCGTCTTACATCGCAGTAAACTTTGCATAGTGCCCGACGATGGAAAATTGTTGCATTCCGTTGGGGTACAATTGTTCGTAGCTGGTGACACGAGGTCACCCGATTCCGGCGAAGCCGGAGGTCACAGCGGGGGTAATCCGGATCTGGGAGGTGGGGAGGGATAGCCAGTGAGCCGGCGGTTGGACAGGCCCATCGGGTTCGAGGGGCGGGACTGAGCGGGGCGACCACCCAAACCCCGGCCATCAGCCAGCGAACGGTAATAGTGATGATATTAGCCTAAAGACTGACGCGCCATAGTGCACGCCGGCGCGTTACTTACATGCGTCGCTCCTCCCGACCCGGCGCGATCAACGAGAGGAATAAAACGGCCGTCCTAGATAAACAGAATCGACCGACCCGTCGGTCGGTCAGCGTCGATGGGACGGGTCAGTGTTCACCTGAACGCGGCGCCGATGAGGATCGTAGCCGCTGCGAGCACCAGCGGCAGCGACACCGATGTGGCGGAGGAACTTCCGGCGGCGGGGCCGTCGCTGCTGCGGGACACCTTGCTGCGTACCAGCTGTCCCCTCTCGACGGCGTTCGTCTCCTCGCTGTTCGGGTCGACCGAGGCCCCGACGTCCGCGTCCTCGCTCAACGACATCGACAGCTTGTTCCGCAGCGTCTTCTTCGAGCATGGCAGGCTGGTGTCCTCGTACGGCCTCAGGATCCGCGGGTAGTGCACGTCCAGATTCGCCGTACCCGGCAGGGTGCCCTTGCTGGTCGAACACAGCGGCGTGATCGTGCCGCCGCGCGTCGCCTCCACGAAATTCTGCACCTTGTTCACCCAGTCGTAATTGGTCAGACGCTCCTCCAGGGTCATGCCCTTCAGCTCCTGCGGCTCCTCGATCGTCACCGGGCTGGAACGCCTGGAACGAAAGCGATGGCCTGTGAAATTCTGTCGCGCGAGCGTCGAGGATTTTTTACGCGCGCGTAAAGTGGACAGGGAGATTCCTCTGGTGATTTGGAGCAACTTTATCCTTCGCGGAAATTTCCTGCGATGCTTCGATCACGAGATATCGACGAAATAAGGAAACTAGTGGGGTTGACGCATCAGCCTCGTCCCGGGCGGAACGGTCGCCACTGTGGCGTGACTCATCGTCCCGGCGCCCCGCCCTCGCGGCCAATGCCGCGTTGAGCTTGGCATCGCGGAGGCGGGGCGTCAGTTTATCGTTGATAACTCGTGAACAAAGCCTCGCAGGAAAATTTCGCAAAGGAAAAAGTTGTTTAAAATCATGCCGAGAATCGCATCTATGAAGCGCTTAGATTTTTGTGACTTCTCATATGAAGGTGATGTACGGGATACAATAAGCCCGGCATAAAAGTTAATAAAAAATAAAGAATGAAGAAGAGGATCGCCTGTCGCAGGTGTATATGAATTCCGAAAGTGGCTGTTTACCATATCAGGCCGGATCGTGTAGCGAAATTGCACGTAGTACGTAATTACGTTGCGAAGAATCGCGGTACGAGATCGCAATTTCCGGCCTGCGTTGGCATTGTATTACGGCCAATTAACAGCGCAACAACGAGGGTGTCGCGCAAAGATGACGATGATGTCTGTCGCGGTTAACGAGCGAGCCTGGCAACGACCTGCCGATATTAGCGACGGTAATAACAGTAATTCAGCCGGGTCAGCGGACAAGGGCGAGTGCCGGTGTGTTTAGCGAAACAGGACGGTTCGGTGCATTAAAGTTCGCGACATGTCTCGTAGGAAACGTCTTCGTGACACGCGCAGCGTTACATAATGCAATGAACGATGCGTCCGGCGCAACGCGAGCGGCGCGCGGGGCGCCCCCGTTCGGGTCGTGCGGTCGTGACGCGCGACCGATCGTCGTCCCTAATTGCCAATTTAAAGTAATCAGAGTAAAAGGAGCGAACGTCTGGCCAGGCCGTGTGGCTATAGAAACGGGGGACCGGGATTGATCATTAGTGCGGTATCAACGGCCCGTGTTAATTAATATCAAACGGACTTTGAACCAGAATCCGGCATTAATGACTGCCATTAATCCGTGGAACGGGGGGAGGGGGCGCCGCCCGGACACACTCGCCGACGTAAACATTTTGACAGGCGTGCGTATATACTCACTGCTGCAGCTTCTGGATCCCCAGACTCTGTAGGACCGTCGGTAACGAAGGCAGCGAGTAGCAGAGCGATAACTCGATGCGCGGATAATAAAGCGTGGACACCAGGCAGGTCTCGTGTCGCATTGTCAAACCGCCCAGCGTGATCGCCTTCCTCGACTCGGTCGAGTACGTGCACTCCGTTATCAGATGATCGCCCTGAAACCAAACACAAAAGCCCACGGTCACTGCGCGGTGCTTTACGAGCCGAACGATTTTCAATCAATTTTTACGCCCGTCTCGCTCCCACGTAATTTATCGGCACCGCCGACAGCCACGGGATCGTATTTCAGGCTCCCTTACCGGCACTCTACGACCGCTCGAAAATAAGCAACTTGTCCGAATTCACTCGAGGCGAAGATCGCTATAACCGTCGGAAACACGGTCGTGCAACTACTGCTGCAACTCCCGCGGAAATTACTGTTGCAGTCCGAGAAAATTTCAGCTCATTCTTCGGGTATTATTTAGTGAGTGTGGCAAATGTGATATTAGAACAGTCGATATCTTCGGTGGAAAAAATTCTGAAATATTGTTCCGGAGTCGGAGCGCCCCACTTGGGAGCTTCACTATTATCGCTGTAACTTTAATGACAACGACTATTTCTGTTTGGAAAAATTTGAGCTCATTCTTTGAATATGCATTAGTAAGCGTGGTAAGTGTGAAAGAAAAGTACAGAGTATTTTCTGTGAAAAATTTTCCTCAATATTGCTCTAGAATCACGGCATTGAACTAGGGACCTTTACTAATATCGCTGTAACTTTAACGGTAGCGGCTATTACCGTTTGAAAAAATTTGAGTTCATTCTTCGAATATCAATCAGTAAGTGTGCCAAAGGAGGAAATAAAATATCGAATATCTTCCGTGAAAAAAATTCCTGGATATTACCCAAGAGTCGGGGCGGTGAACTAAGGTCTATTACTGCTACCGCTGTAACTATGATGTTAATGACTATAACTGTCTGCAAAAATTTGAGCTCATTCTTCGGATATCCATTAATAAGTGTGCCAAGTGCGGAAATAAAATACCGAATATTTTCTGTGAAAAAAATTCCTGAATATTGCTCTAGAATCAGGGCGTTGAACTATAGACTCTTACTATTATCGCTGTAACTTTAACAGTAGCGGCTATTACTGTTTGAAAAAATTTAAGTTCATTCTTCGAATATCAATTAATAAGTGTGCCAAGTGCGGAAATAAAATACCGAATAGCTCCCGTGAAAAAAATTCCCGAATATTCCTCAAGAATCGGGGCGTCGAACGAGGGGCTTTTACTACTACCACTATAACTACGATATCAATGACTATAGCTGCAAATAAAAATTAGAGTTCACTCTTAGAATATCAACTAACAAACGTAGCAAGTACGAATTTAGCAACATCCAACATCTTCCCCGCAAAAAATCCCCAAAGATCGTCCTGTGACCGTAGCATCGAAAAACGTGGTCTGCCGAAGTAGCTTGATCCGCGGTGATCAGACAATGTCTGATCCGAAAAAGGCGGGCCGAGAATAACGCCTGGAGAGAAAGAACGCATGAAAGCGGCAGCTGGTAACCGGCGGAAGGTCCGAGCAGCCAGCGATCGTGTGCAAATGAATTCCTTATCGCTCAGTTTCTCGGTGGCGTCATTAAATTACCATCTAATGAAATACAGAGGGACGACGCGGCCTCGAAACTCTCCCGGCAAGGCACTACTCACCGGATAGACCCTGACGGGCTTCTGCAGCTTCCGATACTCCTGATAGGTGGGATCGTAATTGGTGTCAGACGCAATGGGTGGCAGTTCCTCTCCGGACCTTATCTGACGCAATCGGACCTTCCTGCCGAGTTGATGAGTATGCATGACGACGGCGAATATGTTGATGCCGTTGTTGGGAATGGTCTGCCCGGTACAGTCCGAGATGCAATGACCTTCGGAGACCACTTCGGGCTGGCCGGGCGGTATCGTGTGCCTCCAGTTCGGGTCGATGCCGACGCTGAGAATGCCGGCGTCGTGAGTGCGCAGCCGGTCCGTGTAATGCAAACGCAGACCGGAGCTGTCGCTGATGTCCACCTCCAGCTCAGGATTCGTGTAATGCGTCTCCAGCATGTAATAACGCGGACCCTCGTGCGGGTCCAACGGGTAGCCGGCCTCCAGCGGATAATTGAACCCCTGGAACGAGAGGGAGCATTTTTTAAGACCAAAGACTTCTTCAAAAAATGCCTTTTTTAAACATTTTGTTACTACTTGGGATGACAATAAAAAATAGAAAGCTCTCGATTTTTAACTTTCCGAGGTCATTCGAAGCAACTTTTCCCTTTGCGGAAATGTTCTACGAGGCTTCGTTCACGAGTTATTAACGAAAAACGTACGACGCCACGCCCCTGCTTATCTACGCTCCGCCCTCGCTGTCTAATTGGTCCGCGTTTTTCCTTAATAACTCATAAACGAAGCCTCGTAGAACATTTTCGCTGAGGAAAAAGTTGCATCGAATGATCTCAGGAATCTTTTGCTTCCGCGTGTTAACATAATTATGGGACAGCCTGTATATTACGTGACACACGTACGAATCGCGTCGATTTCGCGCGGCGACGTTGCTGCAGCCGCGCGCTAATCGCTGAAAATATTGTAACCGTAGACGCCGTAATTGGCGTCGCAAATCATGGCTGAGATAGGATCGTGATCCGAATCAGTTACGTGAGTAATTATACGGGGATAAATCACTGTCCGCGAATGTTAATCCGTCGCCGTCACGGGACGAGCGTAAGAGACACGAGCGACGGGTTCTGCGGCGCTGGGGAGGAAGAGAGAAGGGGGACGTTGTAGCGCGGTAATTCTGGGTTTTCTGTAATGCATACCAATGGGAGCGGGCCACGCCGCAAACCCGTTTCTTCGCTGAGAACCGGGCCCGATCGGTTCGATAATTTTGCACGCGACGTGACAGGGTCCCCGATTAAACGCGGTTCCGGCTGCTATACGGCGAGAATAGGCGGAGGAGGCCCACTGAGGGAGACTCTGATGACTTTATATCCATAGTCCACGCGATATTAGGTGAAGTTTAAGTCATCGTTTCGTTGCTTTCGAATTTATTTCAAAAATACAGGCCTCCGAAATTTACGATTTCCGCCCATTTCCGTGCAAATGGCTGCTACTTGGGAATTTTTATCTCAAAAACTATCGGTCGTATTGAGATGTCCCTTTTTTCGTTGTGCTCGGAAAGGATCCAGTGTTCCAAATAAATTTTTATCCGATTGAATAATTATTTTTACAACGTCGAAAATGATAAACAAATTCTTGTTCTTTAAATATGGGTACGAGGTCGTGTTTTCCAAAAATCGAAAAAAATACTATAATATTCTTTGGACTTTTCTCCACAAAACTGTGTATTTCGCAGAATGCTGCGACGCATATTAAAGTCACAGCGATGCGCCGAATGTGATCGATTTGTTTAGTTTCCGAGATATTCGCGATAAATTGTACAGTAAATTCTCGCCAATTATTCTTCAGTTGTTGACAATCGGCAACTGTAAATAATTAATGTAGAGCGATCGGCTGAACTCACCTCGGATCCAAGGCTCCAGATGGCCGCGATGGTGGTGCACTGAAAGGACGGCTGGGAGGACGGCTGATAGCAAAGGCTGCCGGAAGTCTCCGCGGCGGACTCGAGTTCCGCTGGGTCCCCGCGACACTCGTACAGCGTCATGTGATGCAGGAAATGATGGCTGCCCGGCTGTATCACCGGCTCGTACTGCGACAGAAAAAGCGGGACACGTACAGTTACGTCGCCGGCGTCGAAACGCGGAAGAAACCGGCTGGCAAGAAATTAATTCAATCGCGTGCATCGAGTCGTGAATCACCGTGCAGGAATTCTGAGATGCTCGGGCACCTATGATGACGGATATATCTTGAGCGGCGAAGCTATCAGCATCTCGGAGCTGATCTCGTAGCGAGTGTTATCGCAGGATGCGATCCCATCGAGTTCGATTTACTCCGAGAACGATTCGCCAGAAAATTATGCTCGTTGCTCTTGATCGAATCGGCTCAGTGTGAATTAATTCGCGAATTTCACGGACCCTTCTAAATATTCCATCGAATAAGTGGCATTTTTTTAACGCATATAGTGTTCCAGAAGTCCAAATGCACGCGAAATTTTTCCGAGCAAAGGGCGAGATTCGCGAGACGATTCAGAACAACTTTTTCCTTTACAAAAATTTTCTCCGAGGCTCCGTTAAGGAGTTATCCGACGAAAGAAAAGCAGCCAATCGGTGAGCGAGCGCAGGAGGGGAGTGGTGGCGCGACGGCGAGCGCGATGCTTCACTGGCGGCGCGCCCCGAGGGTGGCGCTTCAGCCGTGATCGCCGTGTAATTGGTCCGTGATTTTTTATCGATATCTCGTGAACGAAGCATCGAAGAAGATTTCCGCAAAGGAAAAAGCTGCTTCAAATCGCCCGAGGAATCGTCTTCACCTACTTTGGAACGCGTTAAGTTGATATGGGAATTTTTTAAAGCGTTTACGTTACTAAATTGATAAACCTTCGGCAACGAAACATCTCGAACACGTGTGAGAATAACGCGACAGTCTATTTTGACGTTTCCTATTTGTTTCGAAGTTTGTTGTTCAGTAAACTCGGTCTAGAAACGAGTCGCCAGGACTTCCACTCGGGAAGGTGCGAGCCACGGTGTCTTGATTGCTCCCATGCCGACGGGAATCTGTACCTACATTCTCGGTTTAATCAAGTCTCGATGGGCTGAATGCGTGGGGCGAGACGCCCAAGGGGAGAGGCACCGAGGGAAGTCACTAGGTTAGGGGAACCTACCTTCACGACGTGGTGTTTGCGATGAATGTTCGGCATCTTGACAATGCGGCACGCATGCAGCGTGTCCTCGTTCATCGGCAGACGGACCTGAAATTTAATTAATTAGTCGGTTAATTAAAGATGCTCGATGCTACCCACGATGCAGTTAACATTCTCGGAAGTCAATCAGCGAGCAAGCCTTTTCATTATGCACTTTAGAACCGACCGAGTTGACGACCTTGCGATCAAGATGATGGTACGACGGGAGGGTTCATTGCTTTGGAACTCAAAATGTTCCTCGGTGCATAATGGATCATTTCAGAAATACATTAACACTTTGCAAGTCTGATTTTACGTTGCATCTGCAACGTGTTATAACAGGTTGTTGGCTAATTCTTTGAACTGAGATTTCTTTCATAGCTGCGTTGATTAGCTTCGTCTACAATAATTTTTCTAGTAGAACGAGACTGCTGGAAAAATTTGAGTTCATTCCTCGAATGTTGGTTAACAATTATGGCAAGTGTGAAATTAAAATACCTAATAAATTCTTCGTAAAAAATTCCCAAAGTTTGCCTTAGAGTGGGAGCGCCAAACAAGGGACTCTTACTGCTAGTACCGTAACTTCGAATAAAATTACTATTATCACTTAGGAAAATTTGAGTTCATTCTTCGAATATTCGTTAATAAATGTGCCAAATGTGAAATTAAAATACCGAATAAATTCTTCGTAAAAAATTCTCAAAGTTCGTCTTCGAGTCGCAGCGTCAAACTTGGGACTCTTACTACTAGTACCGTATATATATATAACTTTGACAAAAATGGTTATTACTACTTAGGAAAATTTGAGTTCATTCTTTGAATATTGATTAATAGACGTGCTAAGTGCGGAATTAAAACATCCAATATTTCCTCCGCAAAAAATTCCCAAAGTTTGCCCTAGAGTCAGAGCGTCAAACTCGGGGCTCTTATTGCTAGTACCATAATTTTAACAAAAATGACTATTACCACTTATAAAAATTTTAGTTCATTTTTCGAATATTGATTAATAGACGTGCCAAGTGTGGAATTAAAAGATCCAATATCTCCTCCGTAAAAAATTCCCAAAGTTTGCCCTAGAGTCAGAGCGTCAAACTTGGGGCTCTTACTGCTAGTACCGTAACTTTGAAAAAAATGACTATTATCACTTAGGAAAATTTGAGTTAATTCTCCGAATATTGATTAATAGTCGTGCCAAGTGTGCAATTAAAACACCCAATACAATCCAGGAAAAAAATTACCAAACATCGACCCAGAATCGAACCCGGAGCTTTCGCTCCTATCGCTTCAACATTAAAACGCTATTTATATCCCAGCGACCTTATCGCAGCGCAGTTCGCAGTTCCATCGATCCGAAGAACGAAGAGTATCCCGGAATTAATCCGGCGAATGTTGCAACAGTGGAAAGGCTGCCGGCGGCCGGCGATGCGGAGCAAAGTTACTGTTTTAGTGGTTGTAACCATGAATAATCGCTTTCGGTTCTAACCGGACCTCTTTGATACACTTCATATCTGCGCCCGTGTCTGATCTCGCTGTGAATGCCCGTATGAATCACAGCTGCAGAGAGAGAGATTGCTTTCCCCCACGTCGAAACGCGGAGATGAAACGAATCGGACCCGGACAAGGGCGCGGGAATGCTGTCGGCCGTGCACGCGCCAGGAATTTCGTTAATGCTTTCTCAAAACTTCCCGAATGGGCGGGGCGATGGTGAGAGAGGGGGGGGGCGACGCGACTGCGAGAGGGAAACAGCGAAATCTGTCTATGCGCGTTAATGGAATAACCCGGCGGTTCGCCGGGCACGAGGCTATCCACCGTCGCCCGAATAACAATAATCCGAACTGTTTTTCTAATTGCCGGCTGCCTTCGACCGAGTTCCCCGTATCCGGGCGATTCTAAGTTCGTTCCACTCGCGATTTTCCGGAACGAGAATGCGCTGCGAAAGTTTCGAATGTTTTAGAGGTTCGCAAACGATGCTTAATGGAGCACGTGAAAACGTTGGAATCCGTGAAATTGTACTGGCAGTCAAATTTTGTCAAATAAAAATTCGCATAGAGATTATGGTTGCCAAGATATTGAGCCAGATTTTAATCGAAGAGGTGGCGGTGGATCACGTGACGCGCCCCTCTCCGTTCTACGGGAGCCGCAACGCTTCACGTGACGTCCCCTACTCCGCTGTACTGGAGCCACGGTGGTGACGTGACGTGACGCGCCCCACTCCGCACTACGGGAGCCGCAACGCATCACGTGACGCCCCCTACTCCGCTGTAAGGTAGCCGCGGCGCGCCGCGTGACCTACCCCCACTCCTTCGATTTAAAATCTAGCTTAGCCTCCTCCATCTAATTATCACCGATATTTCAGCGCCTGAATTAAAACTGTAACTACTCGCAACGTTTCTTTCGCGTCGCATCGACGCAATGGTAAAAAGAATAATAACTCGAAGCGACAAATAAATTCTTAGATAAATCATTTCCTATCTTGGGAGTGCAAATTTCAAGTATGACAAGTGCCTGCCAGTTATTTCAACTGACTGTATAATTGCAAATATCTGTAGATGGTTTTCTCAGCGTCCATGAAAAAAAGAACAACGTCAAAATTGACGCAGTCCGAGGATCAACGCGACGTACAAATTCTGAATAAAACCGAGCGTTTTGTAATAAATTTCACCGGGACAAAACGTTTGTTCGGCGTGGCTTGATATGGAACTAGAACTCGGCATATCGGCGGATGCATTTTATTGACAAATGCACTTAGGTGTGCCGAGGCGGGATCCGCAAATTGACAGTGACGTTGTCGTAGCACGTTTCGATAGTAATTTTTAAGCGGACCCCGAATAAGAACAAGGAGACGGCGCGGAGGGAATCGAGTTAACGTGACGTGTGAAACGTTGTTCGACAACCTCTAACAGCAAATTGCCGTGGCGAACGTTGCGCGCGCACACACAGAGCACCGCAGCGTACTTCATTGCATTATGCACACGTATGATTCCGTTCCAAGTTTTCCGACGTGCCTAATAGAATAAGAACTAACTGCGACGGGGTCTTACGGGCTGTTCGACTTGTCTCGCCGATTACGAATACGTATTACAGCTTGATAATAAAAATTATAGTTCAATAGTAAAAGATTGCTGTATAATAAATACTCTGGCTTAAATAATAAAAAATTCCAGTCCAATAATAAAAAATTCCAGCTGCATAGTAAATATTCTAGCTTGATATTAATAATAATTCTAGCTCAATAATAAAAAATTCCAGCTCAATTATAAAACATTCCTTCTGCATAGTAAATATTCTAGCTTGATAATAAAAATTCTAGTTCAATTATAAAACATTCCTTCTGCATAGTAAATATTCTAGCTTGATAATAAAAATTCTAGTTCAATTATAAAACATTCCTTCTGCATAGTAAATATTCTAGCTTGATAATAAAAAATTCCAGCTGCATAGTAAATATTCTAGCTTGATATTAATAATAATTCTACCTCAATAATAAAAAAAACTCCAGCTGCATAATAAATACCCTAGCTTGATAATAAAAATTCTAGTTTAATAATAAAAAATTCCTGCTCCATAATAAATATTCTAGCTTGATATTAAAAATTCCAGTTCAGTAACAAAACAATTCCTGCAGCATAGTAACTATTCTAGCTTGATAATAAAAATTCCAGTACAATAATAAAAAATTCCTGCTCCACAATAAATATTCTAGCTTGATAATAAAAATTCCAGTTCAATAATAAAAAATTCCAGCTCCATAATAAACATTCCAGCTTGATAACAAAAATTCTAGCTCAATAATAAAAAAAATCCTGCTGCACAATGAATATTCTAGCTTCGCAACAGAATCGCCAGTTCACTGACGAAAAGTACCAACTTTGCAACAAATAATTAACCTTCATCATAAAAAACTGAATGAAATTCTAGGTTTTCAAATCTTAGTTTAGTGATCAAAATTATCAGTTCAATAACAAAAGCTCCGGCTGAATAACGAAATATCTGGGTTTCGCGGAGATTAATATACCGAGAAACTATGTCTGAGAGCGATCGATGCGGAGAAGACTGTAATCGACGCGTCCGAGGCGTACGATTCCGGTAAAAACGAAGGCCGAAGGAACAGGATCCATTCGAGCCGGCGCGCAGCCCACATTTCCCATGTTCCGTCAAAAGGATCGATGCCGACGGGAAAAAGGCGGCGTTCCGGTAATGACGGGCATTCGAACGATTAAATAAAAGTATCCGCGCATCGATCCCCGTCGTGTTTATTTTAACGTTGAAAAGGATTCCTGTTGAGCGTAGAGAGAGAGAGAGAGAGAGAGAGAGAGAGAGAGAGACGAACTTACAAAGAGAGAGACAGAGAAGAAGGGTGGCAGAGTAGGAGAGAGCGCGCGAGAGAAGGAGAGAGGGAGAGGAGGAGAGAGAGAGCAATACGGGAGCAGAGAGAGACAAAGAGAAAAAGAAGAGAGAGAGAGAGCGCGCGAGGGAGAGAAAGCGAGAGACAGGGAGCTCTAGAGAATGCGAGAGAGAGAGAGAGCGCCGAGAGAGAGCGCGCGAGAGAGTGCGCTGTGAGATAGAGCGCGCCGAGAGAGAGCGCGAGAGAGAAAGTGCCGAGAGGGAGACGGCACCGAGAGAGAGAGAGAGAGCGCGAGAGAGACAGCGCGAGAGAGAGTGCGCTGTGAGATAGAGCGAGAGAGAGAGAGCGCGCCGAGAGAGAGCGCGAGAGAGAGTGCGCTGTGAGATAGAGCGAGAGAGAGAGAGAAAGAGCGCGAGAGAGAGCGTGAGAGAGAAGGAGAGACAGAGAGTAAAAGAAAGAGCAGAGAGTCTGAGAAAAAGAAGGGACGGCAAAGGGAAAGGTTCGCTCGTCTGCAGCCGCGGGGTCTCCGCGCGAGAAAATTGCGATTCTTTTTTCGCGGGCCAGCTGCCATAAGCCGGACTACGCCGCCGGATTCTCCCACGCGGTTCTGCGAAATTATCGATGTCAAGATTGCCGGGAAGGACGACCCCGTTTATTGTTTTGCGGTCGAATACGCTGTCGCCCACGGCCGGTCGGCGAGATTTAGGCGGGGCTCTCCGTGTTT